ATGTGTCTGGTGGGGTTGAGTCACTAGATTACCTGTGTGTGATGAGAGAGAGAGAGAGAGAGAGAGAGAGAGAATGTGCTGGTGGCAAGTCTCTGCTTTACTTGAGTCTTGACATGTCCATACCTGTCTGAGTCTCATGTATGTTTCTCCACCTTGGTGTGTCCATTATAGATGTGCCTGTAGCCTTCTGCAGTCTCTTCCTTCCCCCACTGCCTGTACCCTGTGCGGTAACTGGACCTAGACACAGCCCCCGGGGCTGGCAGTAGACTTGGCTGATATTTTTAGCCTGTAAACATGTTTGCCATTTTAGAGGACAGGGCAGGGCTGGTCTCAGCCCCAGCCCACTCAAGATCTTGTAGCAAAGAGGGTGCTCCTACCTCAGGCCAACGTCTGTTCTCCAGCCTGAGGTCTCCAGCAGCTTTTGGGAAAGAAGGGAAACTGGAGTGGGCAGTTGAGTAGCCACCTGCCAGGGAGGATAAGAGGACTCATGAGGAAAAAGACAAAGGGAGGTGTGAAGGGGGATATAGCTAGAAGGCCCCTGCACCCCGTCATTAGGCGTTTAATAAAATCCCCATATAGTTAGAAGTGGCTGTGGGAAATGGCTGTAAATTGGGAAGCTCAGCGTCCTGAAAATGGGGAGATGGGGGAGGGGCTGCAGAGGGTGGGAGAAGGACTGGGAAGGCAGAGGAAAGGCTGGATCCTGGGCAGGAGGGACAGGGTCTGCAGAGAGGGTGAGCAGCCCATCACTCCTCCGAGGGCTGCAGGCCCAACTCTGGTGTCTCTGCAGCAACTGAGCAGCACCGTGGTGTAGGGGCGAGGTGATTCCGACTCTAGGGGTGAGGGGGCCAGAGTCTCGAGTCAGCGTGTTCTGTCGTAGGAGATGAGAGAGCTCCAAGAAAGACGGAAGGCCAGAAATGGGCGCGGTTGCATGAAGCTTGGGAGCCTGGAGAGAAGGCTAGGGCCTAGGATTGAAGTGTCCTCTAAACTTGAGGGAAAGCTCAAAGGTCCGTGTTGAGGCTGGAGGTGGCGGCTGAATCATCTATGCTTCTTGACTCCTTCTGCAGAATGGGTTGACACTCAGTCCCAACTGTGAGGGCAAACCCCTGCGTGCTTCCAGGAATTTCTTGTCCATGAAGACATACACTGCACAAATTGCGGGGCGGGAGTAAGTTCCAGATCCCGGACAGGGGCAATAGATAGGATCGGGGAAGGGAGAAGGCGATGCCTGCTTGTCCCTGCGCCCCCTCCGCAGCCTCCCTCAGCAACCCACTCCCGGGTGGTTCCAGAGTCTGCGGGGCCCGCAGGTCCCAGCCCCACTCGGCCCCGCCCGGCCCCGCCCTCTCCCCACTGCTCGGAGCAGACCCGCCCGCCGGAGCCCGAGTTACAAGAGCCGCCTCCGCGCGCGGGGGCCCGGCCACTTGGAGCAGCTCTGCCGCGGGGACTGCACTGCCCGCCCTGCCAGACCCGCCCCGACCAGGGCTCGTCGTCGCCAGCAGCCACAGCACAGCGACCTCGGGCCCCACGCCGGCTATGGCTGCTTGCCGGGCCTGAGCCCGCAGGTAGGCGCGCCAAGCGCTCTCTGGAGGGGTCTGGGGCCAGGGCACCACTGGCCAGTGGAGTGAGGTGGGTGGTGGGGCTCAGACGAGGTGCATTTGCAGGAGTGTCACTGTGACTATTCCAAGAGTTTGGAGCAAACGGAGCCGCCCCTGGCTGCCGGGGCCGGCGACACGTCGCGCTTTGAGAATGTCTCCGGAGTTGGGGCGCAAGTTGGGCAAAGTTAGGAAATCGCTTGGTAGTGTGCTTTGCTGAGCTTCGTATTTCTGTCGCTCTGCGGTCCAGGCCTAGTGGCCCCTGTCCCACTCCCTCTGGTTGGGGCGGTGGCCCAGCGTCCTCCTCGGTTCCCATTCCGTGTTTACTGGAGAAGTTTTCCGCAATCCTCTCGGGGCGCCCCTGCGCGGCGCGCCCCCTCTGATGTCCTCCGCTGCTCCCCACACCTCCGTCCCTCCCCGCGTTCGGAGGCCCCTCAGCCCCACCCTGCTCTGTACCTCCAGCGTCTCCCTTTCGGGTTCCTGGCGGCCCCTTCAGCCCCCCTCCAGCTGTCCCACCCTAGCCTTGCCCCTCCGAGTTCCCAGCTCCAGAAAACTCCCTTCTTCCTCCAGGGCGTCGGAGCCTGGAAGTTTGCAGGAGCGCGCTTCCCTCCGGGATGGGTGCGAGTGGGGGTGGGGGACATAATTAGGGAGATTCCTGCGCTGGGGTGGGCGGGGAGGGGGGACTGTGCAGCGACAGGGTCCCCAGAACCTCCCCTGCCCCGTCTAGAGGCGGTGCTTTCTCCCCTACCCCACTACCGAACTCGTCCGGGCGGCATGGCCCCCGCCCCAGCGCCTGGCTGGACGCCAGCAGCCTGAGGAATGTAGTGGTTGGAGCCGGTGACTAATTCAAACCAGAATTCGGGGAGGAGTGGTGAGGGGCAAAGGGGGGGGGGAAGGGGTTGCGTGTGGGCGGTGGAGGCCGGAGCGCTTGGCGAAGGTGAAGGACTTCGTCGCGCTCTCTGGAACCCTCCACTCCCGCAGAGCGGTCCAGCAGAGAGGGCGGGGGGCGAGATCCTGCTGTGGGGTTGGAAAGGCAGCGTGTTTAGGGTGTGTGCAGAGAACTGGGTTATGTAAGGCTTTCCCATGCAGGGAGGGGATGTGCAGTGTGTGAGGGCCTGGGCCACCTCTGGCAGGGCTGGGCACCCCCGCAGTCCCAGGCCCTGTCTAGAGGCACAGACCCTGGGTGGCGCTGGTCGGGAGGGACTCCTGAATTGGGAGCAGGACTAGATGTACCCCTTGCTGTGGAAGGAGGCTGAGGGGACTCTTGCGGGGGACCCGGGGATAGCAAACTCAACTTCAACTGACCGTAGTATGTGCATGTGTGCATATGTGTGTTGTGTTGTCATGTGTGTTGTGTTGTGTGTGTGTGCATGCTCTCTGTCACTTCTGCACAGTGTGACCACAGAGTATCGCCCGCATTTGAGTCTGCTCTGCATTTAGCTTGGCAGGGTGTGGTCCTGGGCTGCCTCTGCGCCCACTAGGTGTTCCTGGGGTGATTGCTGAGCAGTGGCCATGCTCTGCAGAGGGGATTTGTAGAAAGGCAGTGTGTAGCATCCTGTGGCAGTTGGGGTCCTTGGACAGTGACCTGGAATTCCTGGTGTATGTGTGTGTGTGTGTGTGTGTGTGTGTGTGTGTGTGTGTGGACTTAGAGCTCTTTCTCCCTCCCTCAGAACAACCACTGGGCCCCCAATAAATGACTTTGAAACAGTCTCCCATTACAGTTTAACCTTTGGCAGCAGAGACCATCTATGGCATGCCCTTCCTAGCAGGAGCCTATGGTGTTGGGTTAAGCTCATGGCTTTCAAAGCTTCAACTGGGTGCTGTCCCAATAGGTGGATGGGGGAGGGGTGGTGAAATTAAAGCTGCCTTGGGAAACATTTAAGGGTCTCTACCTACACCAGTACAATCTAGGTGAGTAGAACTGCTTTGGTCATGTTCCCTGAGGGCAGTCCCTGGGGCAGGGTGTGTCACTTTCCTTTTCCCAAGCTGAATGGGTAACTTCCTTCCCTCACCTGGAGGGACTCTGGGACTAGGCTTGCACCTGGTCTGTAGAGTGTGCAGATGTTGAGGTATGAGGGAACCTTGCACATAGGGGGCACTTCCTTACTCTGGGTGAGGGAGGGTGGGAAAGAAACTGGGACCATGTGAGCTGAGCTAGTGCTGGTAGGGGATGGGGGCTGGAGGATGTCTGAACCCCTCCCTAAAGCTTTCTTGTCCCTAAGAGATTATGTGCAGGGACACTGCAGAGAGAGCAAGGACACTTGTGGATCCACGTGAGTCCTGCAAGGCTTAGAGCTGCTGACATGGAAGTCCCCAGCAGAGATGCAGGGGGACCTAGCCTGAGACCCCACAGACCTGAGGAGTAGCCAGACATGGTTGGAGGGTGAGGCTACAGGGCCAGGGTAGGGAGAGAGGGAGGGAGGGAGGAAGGGAGGGAGGGAGGGGGGAGAGAGGGAGAAAAAAAATTTTATGTCAAATGGATTTTAACTTTCTGCAGAAAGAACCAAAGCCCTTATTTTTCCTCAATTCATCAAGTTCAGAAAGAATGTGTGCGTGTGTGTGTGTGTGTGTGAGAGAGAGAGAGAGAGAGAGAGAGAGAAGCATTAGTCAAGGGCAGGGAGTGGGCAAGGAGACCCTGGGTCACTTCAGCCCCAGGGTGTCTCTAGGTAAAGGTGCTGAGCTGGGCCCCACTAGGCCAGATTCTTTTGCTCCACTTGGAACTGTCTGGCAGGTTCTGGCAGAGCACTCAGCTCTGAGCCTGAGGAGCTGGTTTGAGGGGTTGGGGCAAAGCCGTGGGGGTGAAGGAGTGTAGGGCACTGGGGTGTGGTCACTACCTTTTTCAGAACTTGGGAACCGCCAGGGGACAGAGGCAGACTGGGAGAGCTAGTCTGACTTCTGAAGGGAATATTATTGCCTGGACACCCACAAGTTTCTCTCCTTGGGGCTGGGCTGACTATGTGCTTGTACACTCTTAGGTTAGAGGAAGGGAGGTGGCCGCCCGTTTAGAATGTGCTGTTTCACTTGGGCTGTGGCAGTGGTGAATATCTAGGGCTTTCTCTTTGCCTCCCACAGGCTTGAAGCAGGCTCTCTGGGAGTGTGCATTTTCTCTAGGCTTGACTATTGGACCGTCTGTCGGACTTCCCAAGCATTCCTAATGCCTGAGTGTGCCCAAGGAGATATGGGGGGCATGTGGAGGGTGGGGGGGGTGGACAGAAAGTCTCTGCAGAAATGTCTGTATGTGTTTTGATGATACTCCCCTTCCTCCCTGCTGGCCCCAGTTCCCATTGGGGCTAAGGCTCAACTAATTGGTCTTCGGTCTGTCACTGTTTACATTGCAGCAGTTGTTGTTCCACTGTGGCCTTGGGTCTCTGTGTGTCCTAGTGGAGTTTGTGTCATTGCCTGTGAGAGGATGTCCTGTTGGCTGTTCATGGGGCCCTCGCACTGTGGTGGGCCTGGATGTGTCACCTCTGCTGGCCTCTTGAGACTTGGAGGCCAGGGGCAATGACAGTCTGCTCTAGGATGGTGGTTCCGTGCAGGTGTGCAGAGGCAGTAGTTAGGGACTGGAGTAAGTGCCTTTGCCCAGTACAGGTCCAGGCCTGATGCTTGAGTCTGGAGTCTTCTTGAGGGACAGGGCAGCCTTGGGAGTGCAGTCCCCACAGATGTAGGCTGAGCAAGGCATAGCACATAGCCTGTCAGGGAGGGGCATCCTGCCTGGTCCCCAGGGGCCTGAGCGGAGGTTCTGGGGGAAGGGGAAGTGCCTGGAGCTGATCCTGGCTACGTGTCCTGGCTAGGCTGGGGGGGTGGCTGTTAGGCAGCCTGGCCCTGAGTCCCTGCACTACATGGCCTGACCACTGGGGGGCAAACGTGCAGCACCCTCTAGGAGCTGGGCCATGGGTGGGGCACAGGGCAGTTTCCAAGCTGTAATTCACCCCCAAGGGCAACACAACACACTTCTCAGTCCTTCTCCGCTTGCCCCTCCACAAACGAAGGAAACTACTTCAGAGCTAGTGTCTTAATCCCAGTGGTCCTTCCTCAAGGCCCATTCTTCCTGGAGGCTGTGGCCAGGTGTGGAACTTCCCTGTGGCCAGGTGTGGATAATGTGATGCTTTCCAGAATCTGTGTCACAAGGGGAGGTGGAGAGTCCCTCTTGGCCAAGGGAGGAGGAGGTAATCTCCCTTCCTGCTGAAAGTGAGAACTTGGAGCTCTGGGGCTTCGTGCTTGTTGGAAGAGTCGGAGGAAGAGGTATGTGGCCAAAGAGAAGTAGAGGTGGAATCAAGGCACTGGACTGGGACTGGGTACGAAGATGCTCTGGAGGTCCACATGCAGAAACACCACCATGATGGGGAGGGGCTGATGGGGAAGGGTTAGAGGAAGGAAGCCTGTAGAGTTTCCTGCTGGTAGGAGCTGTGGGCTGGGCCAGCACCATCTCCCTCCCCCTAGGGCAGGTAGCATAGGCCATGATTGGCAGGTGCATACACAGAGAGGAAGGCCCATACACAGGGACATGAGCACCAGGTGAACAGGCATCTGCTGTGAGCTGGTAAAAGGTCCCACTGCTGAGCTGTGAAGGGTGGGACATGGGGCTGACAAAACTTTGTGTGCATGTGATGTGTGTGTGTGTGTGTGTGTGTGTGTGGTGTGTATGTGTCCTTCTGTGTTTCTCTGCTTTCTCTGAATAGCCCTCCAGTGCCTGAGTCATCTGGGTCTTGCAACGTCTTCGTTTAATTCTCCTTGATTATTCCCTCCTGTTAGTTGAAAGTACCTCCATTATGTCTAACTATGTATCCTAGGTTGCCTAGAACTTGAGATCTTCTTGTCTCTGCCTCCTGAGTGTTGAGATTACAGGTGGCATGGGCCACTATGTCCAACCTTAGTCTTGTTTTTTTTTTTAAGAGACAGGGTCTCCTTGTAGCTCCAGTTGGCCTGAAATTTGCTATGTAGACCAAGCTGGCCACAGTCTCACAGAGATC